GGACGTGCCCATTAACACACGGTCAAGGTGGTAATTGCTAACTTGGCGGCTTCCCATTAACCCTGCGGTTATGAGTGTTGTCGTCCGTAGGAAGACAATGTCCGGCCAGTATTCAGTAGAAAATAGAACAAACTTACGTGAGTTCTGGAAAGTGGCCGGTCCAGGAAAAGCACATGCGTCCACATGCTATGCAAGTCGGCTTGGTCGAGGCTGCATTTGGGAAGCTCAGTTTCTTCAGAATGACTCGCTTGTTTTCCATCGTCTCAACGCGTCGCCTCCCGATGCTTCTGTTTGAGTAGCTGTTCTCCATGCAGTTTTGCCAAGTGTCAGGTCCTCCCGTGACGCTAATTTGAAGTTATGGCGTATAAACCTAACGCACCATAAACGACAGATTCAGTTAGGCTTCAGGTGAGTTTTCCGTGAGAACCAAGTTGATATGCATATGAGTCTATTCGTGGAATTTATAGTCTTTCAAGCTCAATAGCAGAATTCCGACCATCCCCGAACTCAGTTCCTCAGCTGATCATAGACTATGTGTCTTTTGATGCGGGTTTCGGTCAACCAGTGGAGCTACTTTCCCATTAGACTGCATTCAATTTCAACAGCGTTAACCCTCCGATTTTGTCTCTCCTTTTTGACTCGAAGGTTTTTCATGTGCAGACAGTGCGACTGAAATGCCGTACTCGTTTCCACGTCTTTCCATTATCAAGTGTTAGGTCTGTCTGCCAAGGTAGCATAGGTTTGTTTCAATTCATTAAAGGGTTCTTTGTGACAGCTTAATCTGCGTGCCATTGAAGCCTTCCAGTTCCTCTGGTCTACTGTTCATTCTTCGTTTTCCGTAAGTCTTTCAGAAGCTTATTTATGTTTTTGGGCCTCCGTATCTATCGGGTCTACGTGTAATTGGGTAAATGCCAAGTTCTATTCAGTTAGGGTGGATATCGATATCCTGTAGCATCTGAGTTCTTTTGCATCAAGGATAGCTCGCCTTTCAGGCATGTCTCTATCCTTATCCAGATGAGTTCTACTATTCCAGGTTCCAAGCCATACAAGATTTGTCGTTTTACCGCCCGCGTCATGTGCGAGGAAACGGGGTTCTCTGGTCGCTTGAGTCTGCAAATAAGGGCTTTTTTCGGTACCTTGTGCCGAAGCTAAGGGCCTGTCGCACAAGTCAGCGGGCGACCGACATAGCTAGAGAGAGAAGTAAGGCATGTAAGTCTACCTCCTAATGTCAGTGTGCTAAGCGATTACCTTTTGAGCAGCACCGGACTTTTCGTTTGTGCTAGTATTTCGACCATATGGAGTAATATGCCGATATCCACGGACAACGCTTGCGGTTTTTACAGCTGGTCTTTCCTAATCCGTCCTTCCTCATCATTTTATCGTCGCATCATTGTTGCTTTCATAAATATGGAGATGCTGGCCGCCTGGGAGAAACACCATACTGTTCTCACACTCCTATCTGGGTGAATAGTCCGACCTTACCTGCGGGCTGCGTTCTAGCACGGTTTCTCACAGTACGGCGACTCGTTACCTTTTGTCGGACTCTCCCGCATTGGCTGTTCTGGAATGGTTTGTTGTTTAACTGAGTTCTGACCAGTGTGGCCCACAAAATCATCAAAGCACCAAAACCCGACCACCTCAACGTATATATATATATA